AAAGTTTTTCTGATTTCTCACCCGGTTCTCCTCTCTCTCTCACACCATCTGAATCCTGGATCTGTAAAGTGTCCTCACCTTCTGGGAGATATTTAGTCTCGATGCGACCGGTCCGGCTTCTTCGAGTTCAGCACACGACACCCCGGGCTGTCCGATGTTGGCAGCATCCGAGTCACCAGACATACCTATCCAGACTCGATATCGGCGGGACATACGTTACGGAAACGAACGCGAAACGGCGCGAAATTATTGGCGAGGCGGTCTTTTGAAAGCATTACCCCCTAGTAGTTAGAAATTGACATGTAGGTTTTTTACAGCAGCCTCCAGATGTGGCCTGATGGCTTAATTTGAAGCTCTTTGACACAATTGAGCTCAGAGTTGACTGGGTCTTGATTTGGTGATAATTCGGCCATGACCCTGATCTGTTTTGGACATACGTTGGTCAGGGAAATTTCCCTCTAGAGCAACGCCTAGTGAAGCAGTCCACGTGTTTATGGTTGCTGAAGCAATTCCTGCGTTATTGAAGCATTTTGTAAAAATATAGCCTGCCGTCTCTGCCTGTTGGGGGTTTTGAAGTTTGTAAAAGGTGTGGAAACGCAAGTGGTTGAAATCATCCACAGAAAGACATTGAAGCGGAAGGTAGGCAACATATCCTGTGACTTTAGGTAAGGGTTACCAAACCATTGGCTAAAGGCATACGGAGTATTGTATAAAGTAATCTGAGAAAACCGAATAGCTACTACCCAAACCCAGCTGCCTATTTTGATCACCCATGTACCTAGGTAGTACACACCTCAGGTTGCTTTGCGATAGCGAGCTGCTTGTTATTTGCTTGCTAAACGTCAACACAGCAAATAGAACGTTCCGTGATGCAATGCGGGGAAAGCTGGAGGAGGGCGGGGTGATCTCCGAACACTAAGGCAGGTAGTTGGGTGTTGATAGGGAGGATCCGGAGGGTCGGGGTGCCGAAGGGAGGGTTTCTCGGCAAACTCGCGCTGATGTGACCCGGACGCCGCCGAGATGGATGAGGGGAGAAAATGGAGGCACTGCCGGATTTGGGTCTCGGGATTGGCGGTAGTCGCTTGGGATAGTTTGCCCAGGCAGGATTGGCGGTGTTGAACAGTGTTTGGCAACCTGGGTGAGAATTGCAGCAACACGAGATCCTGGCTGAACTGTGCCGATGGGATGTGGCTATACCTGTTCTATCACTGTGAGTGCGAGATGAGATATCATGAGTTCCCGGATACCAATATTCTCAATGTGGTCATGTGTTCTTGCGAGCCTGTACCGTATTCTTTTCACAGACGGAAGCTGGCTACCCCATTTTCCCCCAGATTGTCGTCATGGGAGTGGAGTTCGAAGCGAGGAGAGCAGCAAGGCCGGAGAGCCCTCCATCCACTCAGCGGAAGCAAGATTGTGATTTCAAGAAGAGAGGAAGTTACCAACTGAAATTGAGCTGTTCCGGCAGCTGACATCATTTTACGGTTTGATTGTTAACGGGTGGTATCAGCGGATAAAGGGTACGCCGGGGTTGGTTTCCAGTCTTCAGGTTACAAGAAGCAGCCGCCTCAAGAGGGACAGGTAGAGGTACCGGGCGAGATGTACACATTCCGAGGTTCCTCAGCTGTGGTGACCAACGGACACTTTCCGTGCCCAGAGCCGGCGGGTGAGCCACAGCCGCTGTGGCCCGCGGGGTCCCCTAGAGACTGTCCGCCTTGGGCTGATTGAAGTGCTGTCAACTGCCCTGTAGCCCTCGAATTTGGAGCCAGTTACATCATCGCAAGTACCCCAAGTACTTCGTCGAGGTCCCAAGCAGTCACTTTCCACCATCCGCCTGGGAGGGAGCTGAAATTCGATCTGCGTCGTTGGGATCTGGTCACTGCGTCCGCCCCTTCACAACCAGCTAATTCGTTCCTCGCGACCTCCAGCTCTTCCTCACACCTCGCCCCTCGACGAACTGTCACCGCATCCAAAGACCAAAGACCAAAGGTCTCGGCGCAAAAGCTCCAAGCTTGTCGAGGCTCTGCTCCTACACATTGCGCGCCTTTTGTCAATTACGCCGGCCCCCCTCACCGTCCGTCTCGTCGCTATTCTTTCCTGTCCCCGTCGACCGAACCGACTCTGTTAATACTCGACCTCAACCTCTGCCCGTCCCGACCAAAGGGTTTCTTGCTCGCGCATCCCTCGAAACGATCCTCGTCTGCTTCGTGCCAAATCATCAATTCGTCGAGCACTCGTTTACCCTCGTCAACCGAATCGAAGCGCCCTACCCCTGCCATACCTTCTTGTCATTGTCAGCTTAGCCGCGGCACATGCGAAATACCCTCGTCCAAACCCAGCAACCAGAAAAACCCGCGATACCCACGACCACCGTCCAGCCGCACCAGCTCGCGGCCACGAGTCACCTTTGATGCTCGAATCCTTCTCCTCTCCATCTACTGTCCGCTCGATTATGCCTTTGTCGTCGTTACCATTCTCCTCTTAGAATCTCTGAATCTTTTCTTCTTTGGACTTTTTGGGTCATTCTTTCCCCCCCCAAGCATACTCTTTACTCTCGGCGCTCCTTCTCGTTCCTCCGGAAAGTCGCAAACCTCATCGAGTACCACGAGATCCTTCCGCCTCCCGCCCTCAACAGCCTTAAATGCAAGCACAGTCATAGCAATCAGGTGGCTTCGGAGGCTCAGCAGTGTGGTCGTCAATCACGAGTTTTGCGCTTGCAATAACACGCACACATCCATCCGCACTGCTCCTTGACCAGAGTCTGAAGTCATGTCGCCTGTAAGTGCTACCCGTTCTCAGCTGCTGCATTTGCAAGCATCCTTCCTGCCCTGCTACATCACTCTGCCCGGCCATCTACCAGGTTTCGTCTGCGGCAAGTCAAAGGTTTGCTGACATCCAGTCTACACTGGCAGTCTCTCAATGATGCGGCGGTTCCTGCTGCTGCTCCGGGCGCAGCTCCGGGCCCAGCTCCGGAACCGGTCAAGTACCTCTGGTTTCGCGATACCTTTTCCCAGCCCGTCATTGCCGCCTTCTGCGCTGGCGGTGTTGCTGGTGCCGTCTCTCGAACCGTCGTCTCCCCCCTCGAGCGTCTCAAGATCCTGTTCCAGGTCCAGAGCGTAGGACGCGATGCCTACAAGCTGTCTGTAGGCCAAGGTCTGGCCAAGATGTGGAGGGAAGAAGGCTGGAGAGGCTTCATGGCTGGCAATGGCACCAATTGTGTGCGCATTGTGCCGTACTCTGCTGTTCAGTTCGGCAGTTACAACTTTTACAAGCGGGTGAGTACCATGCGCCTTTGACCACCTTGTGCTGGGTCGGAAGTGTGGCTCACATGAGCCGCTGCAAAGAACCAAGGCTAACGCAGCACGACTCACAGAACTTCTTTGAGTCTTCTCCCGGCGCAGACCTCTCTCCTCTCGCCCGTCTGACGTGCGGTGGTATCGCTGGTATCACTTCCGTCTTCTGCACATATCCTCTCGACATTGTTCGCACTCGACTGTCTATCCAGACTGCTTCCTTTGCAGAGCTAGGCCCTAGGGCCGAGAAGCTCCCGGGCATGTGGACTGTCATGGGCACCATGTACAAGACGGAGGGCGGTATCTCTGCCCTGTACCGTGGCATCATCCCCACTGTCGCTGGTGTTGCCCCCTACGTACGTGGTTCCCCTGTCTCGAGATGAAATTGGTCCTAGGCTCTAACTTGACGAAACAGGTCGGCCTCAACTTCATGGTCTACGAGTATGTACGCAAGTACCTAACCCCCGAGGGTGACAAGAACCCCAGCGCCGTCAGGAAGCTGCTTGCTGGTGCCATCTCTGGAGCTGTCGCTCAGACCTGCACCTATCCCTTGTGAGTCGACATGGCTGACGTAAGTTATCATTCGTCTTGCTAACAGATGTAGCGACGTTCTTCGCCGAAGATTCCAGATCAACACCATGACGGGCATGGGCTACCAGTACAAGGGCATTACTGACGCTATCCGGGTCATCATCACTCAGGAGGGCGTCAAGGGCCTGTACAAGGGCATCGTCCCTAATCTTCTCAAGGTTGCGCCGAGCATGGCATCCAGCTGGCTCAGTTTTGAGCTGTCACGCGACTTCTTGGTCTCTCTCAGACCTGATGGTGACGGCGAGGCTGCTCTCTGAGATGAGATGTAGCTCACATTACTTACATCCGATTGGGCTCGTCAAGGGGACCTTCGGTATGAGGATTCCAACGATCACCAGGGTCAACGGAATGCCTTTATTAGACGGTGGCTGGCATAACAGTCACATCGAGGCAGAGAGACTGCCTCTCCCCGGGTTGTTCCTTTCCAACCTGGCATTTCAATCACCAGTGTTTTGATAATGTATTACAACAAGACTCCAAGAGAGGCGAGGACGTCATGCGACTTTCCTGCATGGCATCATGGAAACGTGAAAACGGGCACCGCTTTCCCAGAAGGATCGATGCACAAAGAACCAAATGGGTAGACCAAGCATTAGCTCAATACAAGACATGGATCGAGCTCACAAGAGTGCCTTTTATGCTGGTGAGGTGGTAAATGCCTATACTACGTCAGCTAGAGGTTAAGAATGGGAGCATCTGGGCTATTCTAAACTCTTTGTCATTCGCCCCTTTGTGAAGAAATTCTCTGGCTATATCGACATGCACTGGAGTACCTCGGTCAACATTCCCTTGACCGAAAAAGAGGTCTTACCGAGACTGACCGAGGATGCAGGGGACCCTGCAGACTTTCCATAGGGTGGGTCCGTGCAGGTCCACCGTTCAGCAGGAGCGCCCCTCTGGAAGAAAAGGACCCACCGGAAAATTCATTGATCCACTCGACGTTGATTTCAGTTGCCCTAAAGCCCACACAGCCCGATTTTTCCGCCTGGCGAGGAGAGCGTAATTCTAGTGTGGCCCGGCGGAAATATTTTGAAAGTTTCTCTCTTACACCGACGACGACAACATCACGGCCGCCCATTTGACTCAATTCGCCAACTTCGGGAGTCTATCGACAAAATGGGTACGTAGGAATTTCCCATTCAAGCCTTTACATGCGAGTGGAATTGTGCAACGCGCGGTCCTTTTGTGTCTCTCTGATTGTCCTCGTCGAAATACTTGGACCTGGTGAGAGATGAATCGGATCTGCCGTTGCCTCTTCTGCGAACTTGGCGCGGCGAAAGGAAAAGGAATCCTCTCCTCACCACAAGATGATGATGCCTTCGTCTCTACTCCTGCGCTCTGCGGGGAGAAATAGATTCGTACCAGAGCTCATCGCATCGTGGTCGACGGATGATGGACTTTTCCCGCCTGCATTCAGAGCATGCTTGAATAAAAAGGCTGACGATTGGGCTCTTCACCCCCGTTTATAGGTATCGATCTCGACCGCCACCACGTGCGCAGCACGCACCGCAAGGCTCCCAAGAGCGACAATGTGTACCTCAAGCTTCTCGTGAAGCTGTACCGCTTCCTGACCCGTACGTTGACCTCGATCCAAGAACCCCGCGACGAACGAAAGAAAATCGACTAACCTTGTGCAGGTCGCACCGACTCCAACTTCAACAAGGTCATCCTGCGCCGTCTCTTCATGTCGCGCATCAACCGCCCTCCCGTCTCCATCTCCCGCATTGTCGGCAACCTGGACAAGGAGGACAAGCGCACCGTCGTCATCGTCGGAACCGTCACTGACGACAACCGTCTCCTGACCGTCCCCAAGCTGACCGTCGCTGCCCTGCGCTTCACCGCCACCGCCCGCGCTCGCATCACCGCTGCCGGCGGCGAGGCCATCACCCTCGACCAGCTCGCCCTCCGCGCCCCCACCGGTGGCAACACCCTCCTCCTTCGCGGACCCAAAAACTCCCGTGAGGCCGTCAAGCACTTCGGCATGGGTCCCCACAAGCACAAGGTACGATCATGTCGCCTGGTCCAGTGGAAATGCTACGAGAACAGTATTAACACCCTCTGCAGAAGCCCTACGTCGAGTCCAAGGGCCGCAAGTTCGAGAAGGCCCGTGGTCGCAGAAGGTCCCGCGGTTTCAAGGTTTAAGCGTTGGTGGTATTTCCCATCATTGCTTGGCTCTTTTTCACTCTGGGGTTCGGTCGTGCGTGGCCTGGTCGCGCAGGTATGGACCAGAAGCAAGAACAACGCTATCACAAGACGGTTGGCGTGGGGTTGAGATATCCCCTGCGCTTCCTGTCGTGCTTTACAGGGAACACTTTTTCTTGCATGGTATGGCGTGGTTAGGTATCCAAAAAAGAAGAATTGACGACTACGAAACCTTCTCTTAATGGCGTCGAATGGCATCTCTTGGGCTTGGGGTTTTTTACCATTTTCATTCTGGACTTGCCCCTCTCTGTGACTCGCATGTGTGATGCTGTGTGCGAGATGTGATTTCTACCACGTCCATATCGGTTTGTAAACCAACTGTGGTCGTAGAAGAGCAGCCTATATATCGGAGGTGAAGTCTGCTTTACCACGGACGTATGCCCCCTTCTCGCAGATAAGTACTGGACAGTACTATTGTCCCCGCCTCTCGAATCGACGACAAACTGCCATCACCAGTCCTTGACCACCTTTTTCACCCTTTCCGATTGCACTCTACCTCACCTCACGTTCTAGACTGTAGCCAGTCCCATCTACACGATGACATGAAGCCATCGCGAGAATGATCCTCGAAACAGCCAAACTCTTCGTTTGACCGCTATGACTACTCCCAAGGCTGAATATTTCTTGTTTGTATACACACTGTTTCACGTTTGCATACCGTAAGTCTAGGCCTTGCTAAACAAAAATTGGCAAAGGCAGTAGTAGTTGTTGGGTTGCAATGATGGGGAAGAGTGGGAAGGATTTTTGACCTACAGTTTGTTCTACAGCGTATCATTGGCCCGATTGGTTTTGATAATCTACCTAAACTTGGGGCGGATATTTGTTTTAATATTCTACCTTTGCTGGCTGCTCGGGCGGTTCTCGATATCGTTTACACAGTATTAATACACAGTATCAATGGATACCCCCACTGTCTCGATAGACTATTGGGGCGGATATACTCTAGTAGACTTCCTGTTGGTTTTAGGTGCACTGTTGATGTGAGGAGGGGCCACTCTCTCCATATTCTGCGTGAGGTGTAAATGAGGTTCCGACCTACAAGTAGCTTGGGTGGGCTACGATTATCGTCAGTATGGTCTGTAGGTGGCCCCTACGTGGGCCCATGGCCACGAGGTCGAATTGGACTTCCAATCCGACACTTGCTTACTTTAGAGGGGGAAAAAGAGACATCTGGCTCTCTACGATGGTAGAATCGCCTTATGGCTTGCAACATGTATCGCGGCCCCCAGATGCAGGAGTGAGTCAATATTGACAGAAACGGGTTCAGCTGAACCCGTCCTGACCTGGATCAGTTCTCACTTACTGAAATGATCGGCAGAGTCATAGCAGAGACAGACTGGTCCCACCTCTATCTCTTGACGACGGCTGACGGGATGAAGCAGCTGGAAACAATTCATATGCGTTGCCGGCAGGCAGACCTGCATATACGGCGGAATTGTATAGTTTCCACCCGCTAAAGCCGGATTGCCGTCTGTAGCATGATGGTTCCCGTGAGGATCTCTGTTCTGCTTTGAGGGTGTTGAGGGGAGAGACAAAAGGCGCCTCTGAGCGTATGAAGCGTCATGAGGACTATAGGTGGCTCATATAGATCAATTGACCTCTTCGTCAACTCACGGTTCGAACCAATTACCCTGTGATAGGGATACCAACAGCAAGTAATAATCGAGTGGTGCTCTCTGATAAGTAAAAGGCTCCTACCAGCAGGAAGAAAAGCAAACGGTGTCCCAAGCCAGCACTCAAGCATTGCTCTTTGAAGAAGAGCTGAAGCCGGCGTGGTCAAGATACATATGCGCCAAGAGGCTTCTTGCAGCACTCCTTGCATATATCGAAAGGGAATTCGGCTCCGCGAGAGCACAGTTGTCAGCATCTCCGCACTCGCCCGCGAATCTCACCCGTGAGGCTTAGATTTCTGATGCGGACAACCCGACTTGCCCTAGCATAACGATAGAAATTCGAGATTAGAACGAGTTTAGTGTTATCTCGAGACCATGTCGTGTCTGGATGGGTTGCATCAATCATGTCCCAGGTGAGCCAATCTACAGTTTCAACTGCGCGACAAGTCACAGATATTGATGCAATAGAGTGGCTACTGAAATCTCATGTTTAATCACATAGTGTTCTTTTCTCTTTTTGAGAGGCCGTACAGCTAGGTATCTTGTCTCACGCAAGGCCTTCGTAATGAGGACTCCTAATTCTATATCTAAGGACTCGGGCTTCTTCCATCCAGCCTTCTAGTTCATGTCATGCCCGAATCACCTCGTTCTTCTATACTTTTGCCATGGACACCGAAGCCTCCACCTGTCCCCAGGACAGCAACTCGACTGACTGTCTACTTCGAACACTGGTTCAAATTCTGAACGGATCTCAAAAGGCCGACGATGCGAAGTATGATTGGGACCCAATAACCTTTGCCTTTACTGTCATCGTTGGTGCTGTGGCGCTTTTGTTCGCTCTGGTTCCCATCATTCAGACCATCATCGCACCTGGACAAGGGAGCAGAACGACAAATCGCCTTGCCATCGGAGAAAAGTGGTCAAAAGAGAGTTCGAGACAATGGAACTGGCGCCAATGGACATACGAGCATACTGTCATCACTCCCATCTTCCGTATGCAGACCCTGAGGAAGTGGGTGCAGGCGGACATCGACAACATCAAAAAAGATATCGATGAGACCAACTTTGGGAGCGGCATTGACGAGATCTGCGAAGAAAGAACCAGGTACACGGATCCAGAAAAGCACATCGCGTGTCAAAACAGCACCGACGACAAAAACACCGAGAAGGACTCCGAGGGGTTGAAAAGTGCTTTGATAACGATCCACCGCTATTTTCTCCCAAGGCAGACCTCCGCTCATTCCGAGAACTGGCCTGCTGCAACCTGGATTGACTTCTTCCACAAAGTTGGACTAGACAGAATAGACCCTCGAGACGACTTGGGTAGACGGAAAGTCACTGCTGACTACCTACCCAGCGACCTCGTGGCCGCTCCTGCGTACGCGCAGATTGGGGTTATTGTCACAGCCGCTTCAACAACACCGGGTTGGGCGAAGTGGCCCACCGATCCATCGTCAAATTTTCCTGTAATCTTTGGTTATGGATTTCAGTTTGACTTCCGCCAACATCCAATACTTGGTGTTCTTGGAGCCTATTCGCAGTACAGCAAAAGACAGCAAGATCAAGACGATCCTCGCAATATCCCCGGTATCTTTGGGCTCCAGTGGCTGTACGACAAGACCAGGGCGGGTAAGGACGCCCTTCAGAAGAAAGAGGAGAGAGAGAAGCTCTTGTCGTACCACAGCCTATCTCGTCTCTATGTGGCCATATCCCACTCACGCGCATCCATAGAGGCCGACCGGCAATCTCTTTTTAGTGCCGGGCCCAACAACCCATTGAGTTTCATCAATCTAAGCACCAGCTATCACCGCGTCGAGGTATTAAGATACATGCTCAACTTGTCCAAGGAGGATATGCATTCCAGAGCACAGGGTGCCTTCATGTTGGACTATGGAGGCCTCGCCCACGAACAATACATGCCCATTGTCGGGCTGTTCCTAGCTTCCACACCACGATATGTGCCTACGTTATTCCCTACGGACTTGCTGAGCAAAAGGCCTCCTCTTACGCTTCTCGCTTTGAATGGACACTTCTGGACGAATGTCACAAGAGAAAGCGTCAAAGGAGACGACATGTCTGATTGGCCTATGTCGCTTCAGATCTCGGACTGGGACCAAAACGTCATTCAATGGGTCAATGATGGGATGGATAAATTGGGAAGGGTCAAAGGTGAAAACCTCGAGGCAGTTTTCAAGGAGACTAAACGATCAATCTACCACCACTTGCAGTGTCAGGGAGTGGGCGCAACGAAGCCAGCTGTTGGCCTCAAGGTTGCACTTCATCTATGCATGAAGCTGCTTCACAACGACAAGACCTTTCGAACCTGGTTTTCCAAATATCATCCAGCAGTCGCGGCATACTTGAGACGCATCATTCATCTGCAACTCCAACTGCTGGATCGCTGGTTCCTGAACTCCAACCATAACACATCCTCCACTCAGTCTCGCGCAATCCGCATTTGCAACACGACTCTCGCGTTGACGCTAGCGGATGAGAAGGCACCAAAGAAAGATGATTCAACCAGTCCAGTTCCTGATGAACTGGACCAGACTGTCTGGCATCTCCACTCTAACACGCTCGAATGGATCGAAGACTTGATGAATTCCATTGGCCTCACTCCGGAGACTCTCGAGGGCACAAGAAGCGACTGGAAACCAGAAAGGAGCTTTGATGTCAAGAACCGCTCAATCAAGAACACTGGAGCTCAAGAGGAAGACTCTGAGGAGATCTTGGTACCCTTGGCTGCACAGATGAAGCCACGCGATAAAGATCTGAAGTACCTTGCGTGCGCTCATTACAACAAGAAGTGGGAGCTGTTGAATACTCATCAGATGTTAGACAGGTTGGACAAGGTGGCCTCATCCAGGGCCGACAGCTCCTATCGGAAACGGCGATTCCAGCAACGTGATGGAGGAGATGTGGCCAATGAAAAGACAACTGACGATATGATCATATTCCGCTGTATTCTTATAGCATTACTTTTTCAGACAGCCCCAGATAACGCAGCGCTCATCAAGTCGGGGGTTTGGGAACAGGTTGTGGCTATTGTCTAGGGGGCAGAGTGTTGGTTGCGACGAGCAAGGACTGAGGCCACGATACTTGTAACTCGCTGTCTGCGATGGGCGTACCAAAGAATATTGCCCAAAAACTAGTAGAAGATAATACATAGTTTAGTATGTAGACACCGATACTGGCATCCGTTACTGTAGAGAGCTCGTTGGATATTTCCTCATTTATGACGATGATAGCTCATCAGGAGAACCTGGCAGCGCATCCGTACAAACAGTATCTATGTTCTGAGTTCTACTCTCTGAATCTTACACTTAGTTATGAATTTGGTGCGTAGGTACCAAAGGAGAAAGGTATAAGTCAGTGTTTAGTCCATGAGTCTAGCAATAGATTGACGGGGCCTTAGCATCATTCCTCCGCTCATGAAGAGATCACTCGTGAACAGACTCGAATCCACCCGAGATTTATTTCCTCTTACTCCATTCTTCCAATAATGCCCCGGCTATCGGCCTATCCATCAAGAAATCAAAACACAGCCCTCACAAGATCGACCAGTCCAGTGCGGTCTAGCTCATCAGGCAGACCCTAGAAGCAACTCTCCCGCAGTCGCCTCTATCAACCGAAAAGCCGATTTCGGCAGCAGTTTCTTGCACTTGGGACACGCCGGTTCTTTGTTCCGCAGGGTACTCTCCGTCAACTTCTGGAAGAGGCATCGTTTCCCAATCAAACACTTGCATTTCTTCATCCGCACAATCGGCTCTCCGCGGTGGCAACCGCGGGCGCCATGATCAAAGGGCTTGAACATGGCGCCCGGTGAGTGATCGTAGTACTTCTTGTTGCAGACGGGACACTCGAGACGCGACGGTCCTTCCCAGTCGTCGACGTCCTCCGCTACAGAATCGATCAGGGCCCGCCTCGCCTTGTAGGCGATGACTTCCGAGTTCCACTCTTGGCGGCGGTCGTGGTAGTACTTCTGGATCAGCTGGACAAAGTACATGAAGGGTTTGTGCGGCAACGATGCCTTGTCAGTCGAGCTTGCAATCTCGGCGAGATTTTCCAGCCCCGGGATGGTCGACGGACCGCGAAACACCAGGGGCATGATGATGCTGCAGAGCACTTTCACAGCGAGGCCGAACCGGCTGTTGGAGATACCGTTGTCGTGCAAGAGAACTTCTGCCATGAACTTGACCAGGTTGGCGCGCCTCGACATGGCGCTGGCCTCTAGGGTATGCGCATCAGTCCACCCGCCGCCATACTCTGCGTTCTGCAAGACCAAGGCCGACGCCAGCTGCATGTGGTCGCGGATATTCTCGTCCAGCGTCTTGCGACGGCTCTTGACAAGGTAATTCGAAAACAGAGGCTGGTGAGAAAGCCCGCCCCTGAAGTAGAGCTTCTGCGCTTGACAGAAGCCAGAGAGCACTGTATGTCGAAATCTGAACAGGTTCTGCATGGCAGGGTTCTGTATACGCATATCCGACTCGGCCTTTTCCCCGGCCATATCCGTGAGGTACTTGCGGGCCGCCGTGGCCGGGTTGTAGTAGAACGCCAGCGGGCCGTTCGCCTCGCAGGAGCAAGCGCCGACGCGGTGGTCGTTCTCCTTGCACCGGCGCTCCATGAAGAAGGCCCGGAACCACGACTCGCTCATCTCCTCATTCGTGACATCGCTGGAAGGGAACTTGCTCCGGACCCAGAGTAGGACGGAGTGGGAGTACTCGGTCATGTAACTCTGGGCCCAGGCGTTATCCTGGACGTCGTCGCGGTGCCACTCGTCGTGCGAGGGGGTCACCCGGGGCACGGCGGGGGTCTCGCCGGAGCAGCCGGGGCACATGTAGCAGTAGAAGCTGGTGCGATTCTCCCATTGCTGGGCCGGGCAGGGGAAGATGTGCGAGCAGAGGATGTTGGCTATGACGCGGTGTCGTCTCTTGGGGGCATTAGGACGCGGGCTGGCTGGGCAGTTGTAGAACTGTAAATGTTTGATACACATGGTTGCAGTTGATGGCGGATGAAAGTATGACTTGTGGCTCGTCTTTGAGAATTTGAAGCCCGCTTTCACATTGGATGATGAGTCGACAACGCCAACTTTTGGTCCTTATTCATCTCTTAAGTTACCACCTGCGGCTTTGTATTAGCTCGAGTGTTGGGCAACATAACGTTTCCCAAGGGCGAGAACGGTTCTAAAGATATCTATCACAGACAAGAATGGGAATCCCTGGGCTCAGCGAAATGTAGACCGTTCCTTCAATGATGGCCGAGCTCTCGACAGAGTCGGCGTCGCTTTGTGCCACCCTTGACGTCGGCGTCTCTTTCTCACAGTCGCCTGGAACCGGTGCCATTGTGGACTTGTAGACAAAGAAGGACGTCGACATTCAACGTTAGCAATTGGATGAATAAGGGGTATTTGACTGCGTTTGTAAAATAGCGATGCAGTTGGACATAAACCATCAAGGCTTATCCTTCTAGCGCCTAAGAGGACCGCTTGACTGAGGAGAGTGTGAGAAGAGCTGTGGTGTGTTGGTCTACGAAATTCACCTCGCACATCGGAAGCCCATTTTTGAGTGTACCGTGTAAGTCAGAAAGCTATGGGATAGATCTCTAAGGTGGAAGGGGACATATTCACGACTTTTTCTACAATGATTCTCGTGTCCAAATTTTTGGATGTTTAGTTCAGGAGCCCGATGTCCTCAGAGTCTCCGAGAAATTTCACAAAAACATGACATCAACATCAACAGTCTACCGTGATTGGCGGCTTTATTCAGCGCAGTATGCGCTTCGAGAGTCGACAAAGAGTCTGTGTTCTGCATCAACGCGGCGCAGTAAGTGAAATAATCCCCAGCGCCAGCCTCCAGCCTCCGGTTCCGCGATAACAGACCGCCGGTTCAAGATATCCAGAGAGTCCAGTCTGTTGCGTCGACATAATAGCCAAGTTTGCGTCTCATCGGTATCAGCATTTGCAAAAGCCAAATACTGTATCTTCAAAATGCCCCCTCGACGCCCCTAACAAATCCCGCACGATCAAGTTTGCAGTCTAGGATTGATAGTAGTGTTTGCTCCAAGCTACAGGGATATCCACTTAGCGAAAACGAAATGGTCTCCCAAGTCCCAGTCGTTGCCGTCTACTCCTTACGTGGGCCGCGATCCCCGTTGCTCTAGCCAACGTCGATGCGGGTGGTGCCAACCGCGATCGAAAATCGCCGATGTATCCTTGTCCCAGATCGTGTCTTTTGTGAGATGAAATGAGCTGGCGTCCTATGCTTACGCTATAACGTGCGAGATCCGAGATTCTGGGACGGCCAGACGGCGAGGGTGCCGGGTGTCGACATGTTGGATCCCACTGGACTCCATTTCCAACGTCAAGCTGCAAGTGATGAGGCTCTTGTCCCGACGAAGGGGAAACCATATCCAATGATAATATAGATTTCGACTGCTACAGATATTGATAGACGAACCGTCTGTAAAAAGTCTGCTTTGCTAATGCCACCGTCGACTCCCCGACTCTTCTCTCACATCTCGCTCTCAGTCTAGCATTTGGCATGGCGCTGGTCCAAAAACAGAAGACTTGTTTGGCCACGACCAACAGGTATGTTCACCACATGAGATTGTTTGCTCGCGCCACTCACACAATCGTGCTTCTTCTCCGAGCCTCCTACTTTCCTCGCTTCTGGCACAACTCGCAGGGGGAGGGAAGTGAAAACGATCCCTTACGTTCGGCGAAAATCCATGTTCCTTGTCCTCCATCGCCGAATGCTCGTCTTCATATAGGAACACCAAATGTCCCTAGCAGTAACACAATGTTAGTCGGAATCTCCCTTCGATCTGCGTTTCTGCCCTTCTCTATTCTTTCTTTCTTTCCTCCCCATCCTCCTAGAAACAGACCGGGAATGGCGGCGTTTTCAGACACTGCCAGCTCCCTCTCGTCAGGCTGTACCATTGTCGGGAACCTGGTGGTATCAGCCTGCATCCCATCAACAATGTCCTCACAACCGCAGACCGCCGACCCCAACGCACCGCTCTTCGGCGTCGCCCACAACGTCTCCCGCCCGGCCCTGACAGCCTACACCTGGGCCAACGTAGCCACCTCGTACATCTTCCTCTCCCTCCGCCTCCTCGTCCGCTGGCGCCGGAACCGGCACCTCCTCCGTGACGACGTCTGGATGGTCTTTGCCTGGCTGTGTCTCCTGACCATGGCCATCCTCCAGATGCAGCAGATGGACTCGCTGTGGTACGTCGTTGAGCTCGAGGCGGGCAGGTTCGTCCCCGCGTCCAAGAGGGAGGCGGAGTTGCAGCTGGAGCAGTGGTTGCGCTGGTCGTATGCGCTCACGTATCTCTTTTGGACGGGGTTGTTTGCGGTGAAGGCGAGTTTTTTGAATGTGTTTTTCAGGCTTGTTAGTCCCATCCCGTGGCTACGCAAGGTCTGGTATGGGATTGCCATGTTTTGTCTCCTTTCGTATATTGGGGGATGGCTTTCGGGGTCGCTCATTTGTGATACTCCATCCGACTACTTCCGGGCAGGTATGTTCACTCCTAAACTCGCGGTAGCAGTCTCTTGCATCTGATGCTTGTGACAAGGAAAATGCCTCTCCCCAAAGGAAGTCTACTATTACCGCTTCGCCATCTTCTTCGCAACAGCAGCCGACGTCTTTACGGACCTGCTCATCATGAGCCTACCCATCGCCGTTCTCCCCTCGCTCCAACTCGACTTTCGCAAAAAGTTTGGTCTTGCGGTAGCCTTCTGCCTGGCCCTCATCACGATCCTCACAGCCATCGTCCGCATGACGCAGGTGCTCAAGGGCGAGACGGTGGACATGGTGGGCCTGGCCGTGTGGAGTCTCACCGAGCTCGGCACCGCCATTATCGTGGGATCGCTGCCGCCACTAAAGGCTCTCTTGACGCGTGGGATGAGAAAGTATAACGGGAGCAGGACGAACCGCAATAAGTCGTACATCAACTGTAGAGGCGAGCCCAGTAACGGATACGGCCCGAATAATACGTCTCGGTCCGTCATGGTTGCTGAGTCGATCCCGTTGGACAACAGGCATAGGAGCGA